GTAGTTGTGATCTGGCCGTGGTAGGCTGTCAGTCTGTCACAATGACTCCAGATGAAAAACGTGGTCCAGTGGAAGGTCTTTATTTTTGAGCTGGGGATGGGGAAGGCTCCCCCCAGCCCACCCCCGTTTCGGGCTTCCCCATGTCTCTCAGTCCTTGGTGCCACACTTAGGGTTTTGCTGGGTTTTCTCCGCAGCACTCTCTCCTTACTAGCAGCGGTCATTTTTATGTTTGTTTTTCATCAGTCATGCTGAGGAAATTGGGGAGTGCTGATGAAACGGTGCTTCTGGGTTTCAGCGGGACTTTTGACCAAGTCCCCTGTGAATTCCTCAGGGCCTGGAGAGCAGAGTTAGTGCAACGCCATCAGCAGAGGGTCTGCAGCTGCTTGGAAGCCCACCCAGAGTGTTTGTGGATGGCTCCCTGCCGTCTGGAGGGGGACCCCACCAGCCACAACAAGGGACGGTCACCTCTCCCTCTAGCCGCAGGATGGAAGCAACAAGGGTGTGGATGCATGTTTCGTAGAAGGATAATGTTTGATTAATTAGTCCCATCAAAACGGAAACCATCTGCTCTGCAAAACAGGGTGTGCCATAACCAGCGCTTCTGAGCTGCACCCTGGCGGCCGTCTGTTGAGACGTCCTGGAAGGGAACTTGCTTCGGAGGGGCATTGTACCCCATTTTGCTTAAATCCCCCTCCAGTCCAGTGATGCTTTGTTTTTACCACATTTCACCTTGGGGGTGATTAAGTGAAGTCACTTTCCTGGAACCTGTTGCACATCTCCAATTCAAAAAGTCTACGGGCTCTGGGGTGCCCTGAGCACTCACGCTCCCGGGAGTGAGCAGGCCCCAGATACGTGACACACCTCACAGAAGTGAACGGACGTCTGTGAAGAAACGCCATAGACGAGCTTGTTTCAGGAACACGGATTTCTTCCCTGACGGACTCACTAAAGGAAGTGACCATGGAAGGAGGCGCTAAAGTGTGCGAGCACAGCCCAGTCAGTGCTCCCGGGTGTCTCTGACTGAGCGGCTCCTGCAGGGGCTCGCTGGGAGCTGGACCCTGTGCCCCGGGGAAGGAGGGGTTGGAGTCGGGAAGGAGGGGCCCACATTCTTCTCTGGTCAGCTTCCTTCCCAAGGCTAGAGGAGGCCGCCTGCCGATAGAGACCTTGTCACCAAACTGGCAGAAACAAAGCACAGGTCACTCACCCAGGGTCTCTAATTAAAGACATCTTGGCCGGGTGTGGCAGCTGCTGCCTGTTATCCCAGCACTTGAGTTGCTGAGGTGGGAGGATTCCTTGGGGCCAGAAGTTTGAGACCAGCCTGGACAACACAGTGAGACCCCCCTATCTCTATTATATATATATATATTTTTTTTTTTTCTTTTTTTTTTTAAGACATCTTATTTCACTTCTAAGGAATTTTGAAATCTTAGCATTAACAACTTCATCTTTTAGAGTGGACTCCAAAGGATTCAGATTTATTCCCTCACTCCCTCCCTCTCTTTTTTTCTTTCTCTCTCTCTCCCTCCCTCCCTCCCTCCCTCCTTCCCTCCTCTGTTGCCCAGTCTGGAGTGCACTGGCACCATCGTAGCTCACTGCAGCCTCACTTGAACCTGGGCTCAAGTGGTCTTCCCACCTGAGCCTCTCAGGTAGCTGAGACTATAGGTGTGTGCCACCATGCCTGGCTGATTTTTAAATTTTTTGGAGAATGGGGGTCTCGCTATATTGCCCAGGCTGGTCTTGAACTCCTGGCCTCAAGCAATTCTCCTGTCTCGACCTCCCAAAGCATGGGGATTGCAGACATGAGCCACCACACCTGGCAGAATGTGTGGGTTCTTGAATGTCAAAACCAAGTCTCTAAATTGTTAAGGAAAAAATTGCACGAGTGAGGGGCAGGCTGACTCTGGACCCAACTGTGAGCTCACCTTTGGGATATGACGGTCAGACGCGGTAAGGCCGGGGCTGCTCCCAGCGAGCTCTGAGGAGAAGCTCAGCCTGTAATCCCACGCCTTTGGGAGGCTGAGGTGAGTGGATTGCCTGAGCCCGTGGGTTTGAGACCCGCCTGGGCAGGCGAGACCTCATCTCTAAAATAAATCAAAAAATCAGCCGGGTGAGGTAGCGCATGCCTGTAATTCCGGCTACTCGGAGGGCTGAGGCGGAAGGATCACCGGAGCCCAGCAGGTTGAGGCTGTGGTGGCCGGGAGTGGCCATTGCATTCTAGTCTGGGCAACAGAGTGAGACTCCAACTCAAAAAAAAAAAAAAAGAAGCCACACACAGATCTCAAGTTGGGGTGCTGACGAGACTCTCCCAGGGCATGTGGAGCTGACCTGGTTGGAAGAGCGGGGAGGGAGGGCTTTGGCAGGGGTGCTGTGGGATGCCTTCGTGAGCTCAAGGGACACGAGGGTTTCCTCTGACCACATTATTAATAAAATTATGCCAAGAATTTCAAGCATGCAGAATGTATTACAGGTTGGGTTCTGTGGCTCATGCCTGTAATCCCAGCTCTTTGGGAGGCTGAGGTGGGAGGATTGCTTGAGCCCAGGAGGTGGAGGTCAGCCTGGGCAGCATAGCCAGACTTCATCACTATAAAAAATGAAAAAAAAAAAAAAAACCGAGCATGGTGTCACATGCCTGTTGTCTCAGCTACTTGGGAGGCTGAGAAGGAAGAATTGCCTGAGTCCAGGAGGTCGAGGTTATGGTGAGTGGTGATTGTGCCACTGTACTCCAGCCTGGATGACAGAGTGAGACCCTGACTCAAAACAAAACAAAACAAAATGCCTTAAGAACAATATGACAAAACCTATATACACACCACCCAATTTAAAAAAATAAAAATTACCAGCATGGGTGGGCATGCTCACGGCTTCTCCCCAATCTTACGCTCCCTCCCCTCTCAGAGGGAGCTGTGGTCTGAGTTCTTGCCCTCGTTTTTTGGATGAGGATAGAGAAGCCCTGAAAGGTCAGGAACGGCCTCATCACACACTCCAGGCTCATGGGCGCTGCAGGACACCTTCTGCTTCTTGGTTTTTTTCAGGGAGGGAGGGCGGGTGCAGTCTACTGTTTGTAAGTCTGTGCTGCCTTTGGGGTGTGGTTAAGTGAAGAGCATCTGTGATAAAATCCGCTCAGAGACGCGATGTGGCTTTGCGTGATCAGCAGGGCAGTACTGTCACTGGCTTGCTTGGAACCTTGGGCATTTACACCGCAAGGTGTCCGTGGCTACCATCAAGCTCAGGGGCCATCGGATGTACAGGCAGCTAGAATCAGCGCCGCAGGGGACTGTCACGGGGTGGCGCTGAGCTCTAGAAGGCAGCAGTGGCACTTTAACTGGCTTCAGAGCCCCCCTTTGACCACTTGCCCATATCAGACACCGCCTGTGTCTCCAGAAAAATAGTCCTGCTGGAGGGAAAGACTCCCCTTCAAAGCATTCTCCCAGGAAAGCATCATTGGGGTGTTTGGCTGGCTTTCTGGGAGATTTGAAAATGGGACTAATAGATGCTTTTTTGATGAATGAGACCCTGAAGGATTGAAGTAATATATTTGGAGCTATTAAATTTTAATAAAAACAAGAGGGCAAATAAGATGACTTTCCTCTTGCTGCTGGCATGAGGTGGAAGTACAGGTTGGTTGGAGTACAGGTGCTTTTGCCCATTTTTATTTACAGATTTTTTTTTTTTTCTTTTTTGAGTTGAAGTCTCACTCTGTCGCCCAGACAGGAGTGCAGTGGCCGCTCCCGGCCACCGCAGCCTCGACCTGCTGGGCTCCGGCGATCCTTCTGCCTCAGCCTTCCGAGTAGCCGGAATTACAGGCATGCGCTACCTCACCCGACTGATTTTTTGATTTATTGTAGAGATGAGGTCTCGCTGCCCAGGCGGGTCTCGAACCCACGGGCTCAGACAATCCTCTCACCTCAGCCTCCCAAAGGCATGGGATTACAGGCTGAGCCACCGAGCCCGGCTTATTTATAGATTTTTAACGGCATGGGTTTTACAGGCAGCTAGAATCAGCGCCGCAGGGGACTGTCACGGGGTGGCGCTGAGCTCTAGAAGGCAGCAGTGGCACTTTAACTGGCTTCAGAGCCCCCCTTTGACCACTTGCCCATATCAGACACCGCCTGTGTCTCCAGAAAAATAGTCCTGCTGGAGGGAAAGACTCCCCTTCAAAGCATTCTCCCAGGAAATGCTTTTTTTTTTTTTAAAAAATAACACCTAACAATTTTCGCCTAGATCTCACTCACAGCCATTTGAAAAGGTGGGATCTCTGAAGAAAACTTACAGCTGCTCACAGGATCATCTACTAGGACTTAATTTAATCCAGAAGGCTGGCGTTAAATGTCTATAAAAATCAGTAAACAGGTCAGGCACGTGGTTCATGCCTGTAATCCTAGTACTTTGGGAGGCTGGAGCCCAGGAGTTCAAGACCAGCCTGGGCAACACAGCGAGACCCTCTCTCTACAAAATAATATAAAAATTAGCCAGGGGCGGTGGTACGTGCTTGCATTCCTGGCTATGATGCAGGCCTAGGCAGAAGGATTGCCTGAACCCAAGAGGTCAAGGATGCCGTGAACCATGATCATGCTGCTGCACTCCAGCCTGGGTGACAGAATGAGACCCTGTCTCAAAAAGAATGCTAATTATAATTCAGCAGTGAAAGCTGTGAGAAATACGTAGCCATATGGAGATGTTTGTGGGTTCTTGGTTACAGAAGAGATGGAAGGTGCGGCTGCCAAGCCCCCCTCTATCACGTGATGGGGGACGATGCCCTGCTCCCCTTCCCCGGTCTCCCAGTGAGCGTGCCGCGGTTGCTGCTGGTTGACCTGATGCTCATCGTGGCGTCCTGGGATTCTTTTGTCTTTCTCTAAAGTGGACATTGAAGTGACAGAGGAGGACCTCGTCACATTCCGCCGAACACGTGTGTCTTTGCAGGACGGAGGAGAGATGGTTGATGGGAGGAGCGTGGTGGGAGGCCCTGCTGAGGACGTGGCGTCTTTGCTTCTGTTTTCCAGACGGTGTACTCCATGGCCCCATTCCCTTTCCCGCAGTTGGCGGAGCTGAGGGAGAAGTACACCTACAACATCACCCCCTTCCCGGCCACCGTCAGGCCTGCCTCGGCTTCTGGGTAAGGCGCTTTGGGTTTTTTCTCCTTGTTGTTTTCGTGATGGAAGACTCAGTGCCTTGACTAGTTGTTGTCAATTCATATTTCTGAAGCCCTTGACACGTGCTCAAGGTAAGCTGGTACTAAAAGCGGGACGTCTCTTTCCCAAAGAATTTTGGACTAAGTTAAGAGAGATTTGTAAAGTGTGTTTTCCAGAGAAGGTTGAAACACACACTGAGGGCTATTTAAAGGCTTCAAGGAGTCATCGTCTCAGTTGTGAGGAGCGTACGGACTGGTGCGAGAGAGGGAGATCAGTGCATTGAAAATACCATAGAGACCAGAGTGACAAGTACATGGCCAGGAACTTAGCATCTGAGAGGTTGGCATGGAAAATCCGCGGTGGAAAGACAGGCTGCTTCATAAATAGGTGGTGGGTCCTGACCCCTCCTCCAGAAAGGAGGAGGATTAGAGTTGGACCTCAGACACACATCAGGTCAACTCCACATGGGCAAAAGCATTAAATGGAAAAAATGAAGTCATAAAATTAGCAGAAAAAATGTGGAAGGATTCCTTTAGTTCTTTGGAGCTGGAAAGGCCTTAATAACGGACTTTGCATCTTTTAAAAAGAAAAAAATTAATTTAAGTACTTTATTTTATTTATCTATTTTTGTATCAGGGTCACCCAGGCTGGAGGGCAGTGATACAATCATAGCTCACCGTAGCCTCAAACTCCTGGGCTCAGGTGATCCTTCCATCTCAGCTTCCCTAGTAGCTGGGACAACAGGTGTACACCAACAGGCCCAGCTGATTTTTTTTTATTTCTCATAGTGGCAAGGTCTTACTATGTTGCCCAGGCTAGTGTTGGACTTCTGGGCTCAATCAATCTTCCTGCATCAGCCTTCCAAACTGCTGGGATTACAGGCATGAACCACTGCACCCAGCCCAATTTTTTAATTTTTTTTTTGTAGAGATGAGGTCTTTCTATATTGCCTAGGCTGGTCGTGAACTCCTGGGCTCAAGTGATCCTCTCGTCTTAACCTTGCAAAGTACTGGAGTTACAGGCATGAGCCACCATGCTTAACAAATTTAAGTACTTTAAAAATAGTTTTCTGACTGGGCATGGTGGCTCAAGCCTGTAATCCCAGCACTTTGGGAGGCCAAGGCAAGAGGATTGCCTGAGCCCAGGGGTTTAAGACTAACCTGGGCAACTTGGTGAGACCTCATCTCTACAAAAAATAAAAAAATTAGCTGGGCATGGTGGCGCATGCCTGTAGTTCCGGCTACTTGGAAGGCTGAGGGGGAAGGATTGCCTGAGGCCAGCAGGTCGAGACTGTGGTGGCCACGAGCATGCAACTGCACTCCAGCCTGGGTGACAGAGTGAGACTCCAACTCAAAAAAAAAAAAAAGTTTTCTATATGACAAAACCAGAACAAAACAAGATGAAACCTCCAGAACCAGACACAAAAATATTTGTGGAAGAATATTTTTAACTTACTCTACAAAATAGGGAATGATGCTGCTAATATATAAAAATTCCTAGGAATCATTAAGAAAATGGCCGTCCAATGGAAAAACAATGAAAGAATAGAAATAGGCAGTTTACATTTAACAACCAAAAAAAATTATTGGTACTGAGGAATACCACGTAAAGCCAGAAATTGAGATTCTGGTTTTAGCGATTCTGGTTTTTGCCTACTTATCAGACAGGCAAAAGTTCAAAAGCTTGGTAACACATTCTGTGGATCAGGCTCTGAGGAAACAGATACTCGTATACATTGGGGCGAAAGGTTCACCACTGCAGGTATATGGCAGAAAATTTGGCAGTGTCTGCCAAAATTACCAATACATAAGTCGTTTGACTCAGCAATTCCATTCTCATGAATTTTCCTACGTATGTATTTGTGCATGTGCAAGACACAGTATGTATCAGGTTACTTATTGCAGTTTTGTTTATACAGTAAGTCCCCTACATACGAACCTTCAAGTTATGAACTTTAACGATGCATACCTGCGTTTTTTTATGTATTGTTTCTCTCCACCAGGTGTCAATCTAGCCTGTTAAATACACACAGTACTCTAGAGCTAATTGTGCAAGTTGGGTATCTAGGCTTACTTTGTTGGACTTAAAACAAATTGGACTCACAAACACACTCTTGGAACAGAACTTGTATGTTGGGGACTTCCTGTAATAGTATCATCTTGGAAATCCCAGGTGTGCACCATTGGCAGCTGGCTTCCTACCATGGGCTGTGGACTTGCACACAAACACCTCTAAGATGGGATAAGGAAGCTTTTGTATAAATATAGCAAGGTTTCTTTTTTCTTAAATTCCTTATTTTAAAGCTGTAGGGTACAGTTCAGGGTTACAAAGTTATACAAATGCTTATAGGTGGGTATCCTTGTTGATGAGGTATGCCTCTCCTTCCCTGACAGTTTCCCACTACTGCCAACCCCTTTCTTATAGTATTATGATAATCGTTCAAGGTCTACTTATGAGTGAGAACATGTGGTACTCAGTTCCTTGTTTCTGTGATAGTTCACTGAGTATGATGGTCTCCAATTCTATCCAATTTGCTGCAAAGTCCATGATTTTGTTCTTTATGGCTCATAATATTCCATTATGTATATGTACCACATTTTAAAAAATCCAGTCTACTTTCAATGGTCAGCACAGTTGGTTCCATGTTTTTGCTATTGTGAATAGTGCTGCATTAAACGTGCATGTACAAGTATCTTTTTTGTAGAGTGATTTGAGTTCTTCCAGGTATATTCCCAGAAGGGGGATTGCTGGGTCATATGGAAGGTCGTATGTATAGCTCTTTTAGGAATCGCCACACCGTTTTCCAGAGAGGTTGCACCAGTTTGCATTCCCACCAGCAGTGTAGAAGTGTTCCCTTTTCTCTGCATCCTCGCCAGCATCTGTTGTTTGTTTTATTGATGATGGCCATTCTTTCTGGGGTTAGGTGGTGTCTCACTGTGGTTTTGATTTGCATTTCTCTGATGATTAATGCAGCTGAGCACTTTTTCATGTGTCTGTTGGCTGCTCGTATCTCTTCTTTTGAGAAGTGTGTATTCATGTCTTTGGCCCACTTTTTTTTTTTTTTGAATTGGAGTCTCCATCACCCAGGCTGGAGTGCAGTGGCAAGCTCACGACCACCCACTGTCGACTCGCTGGGCTCCAGTGATCCCTCTGCCTCAGCCTTCCAAGTAGCCAGAACTACAGGTGCATGCTACTGCAGCCGGCTAATTTTTGATTTATTGTAGAGATGAGGTCTCGCCAAGTTGCCTGGGCTGATCTTGAAACCATGGGCTCAGGCAATCCTCTCATCTCGGACCCCAAAGTGCTGGGATGACAGGTTCTAGCCACTGTTCCCGGCCCTTTTGCCCACTTTTTAATGGGGCTGTTTGATTTTTGGAAAGGTTTCGTTTATGAATAAGTTACAAGGTGCACTTGTTCTGTTTTGTTCCAAAGGGAAGAACTCTATAAGTATGCTAATATTTATGCAAAAAGAGAAAAATAAAACTATATAGTCCTATTTGCTTATCTAAATACAGGGAAACCAAAGAACACGTGAGCCCCTCGGTGGCATGGGTGCTGGGCAGCAGTTGGACAGGGATGAGAGGGAGACTTTTAATGCATCATATATGAGCCGTATCATTGTATCTAAACTGTATATACGGCATTTAAACCATGTGGCTGTATTGTTCAAAATACCACGATTATCTTTGAATATTTTTTCTCCTTTTATGTTCTCCAAGACGACACAGTAAGGTCAGAGACAGTGATGAAGAGAATGACCTAGACGATGAAGATGCTATCGTCAACGCAGTGGGGTGTCTTGGGCCATTCAGTGGGCTCCTGGCGCCCGAACTGCAGAAGTTCCAGAAGCCGATGAAAGGTAAGGAGAGGGCCCTGGAGTTAGACAGTCACAATGTCACAAAGTGCTGGCCACTCCAGCAGGGGTATTTTTACTGTGGCTTTTAGATGCCTTAGGAATTTCCTGAACTGGCTACCACTGACCAAAGTCTTTATTAAGACATCCTCTCTGTTGTTTTATCATTCAGTAGGGCCTCTCTCTATTTTGTGTTGCACGCATGATACACATTTCTTTTTCTTCTTCTTTCTTTTTTTTTGAGTTGGAGTCTCACTCTGTCGCCCAGGCTGGAGTGCCATGGCACCCTCACGGCCACCCCAGTCTCGACCTGCTGGGCTCTGGCAATCCATCCACCTCAGCCTTCCAAGTAGTATGGGCTACCATGCCCAGCTTTTTTATTTATTGCTGAGATGAGGTTTCACCATGTTGCCCAGGCTGGTCTTCAACCCATGGGCTCAGGCAATCCTCTCGCCTTGGCCTCCCAAAGTGCTGGAGTGACAGGCTTGAGCCACCACTCCCGGCCTCTTTTTTCTTTATGGTGACTTTTGCTTCCCATTCTTCTGATTCAGTTTTGTGTGTTCAGTTCCTGAGCCCAGAGCCAGGCACATGGTCGAGGCTGAATACATTCTCACCTGAGTTTAACTGAATTCGTTCTAGACTGGTTTTTCTTCCTGTAGGATTAAACTTCAAATCCAAGACATGGTAGCCACCACTTGAATTTCCTCAATGACAAGAAGCTCATAATTTCACAAGACACTTTGCTAGAATCTTCCCCTTCATCTACAGTTTCTAGGTGCAAAGAGAACCTCTCCCTACCAGTTTACAGATAGTTCTTCCCTTTGGAGCAAAACAGAACATGTCTACTACCTGATGTCTCTTCAGATCTTGGAGGACAGCTGTTACATCCCCCAGAGCTTTCTCAAAGGCCCAGCATTTCTTGAAACGTTTCTCTTAAGGTCTGACTTCTAGGCCTTTCATATTCTGCCCATGTACCTTGAGGTAGCCTGTCACTTGGCAACGCTCCTCAGAAGACGTGGCCCCGAATCAAGTGCCATGGTTGGCTTGTGGCCGCCCTGTGGTGGGGCACTACCAGTGTCATGAGTTCTTCGGAAGCAGGCTTGGCCTCCCACCACGTCCTCTCGCATCTTGGTGGCAGCTCTGGCTGTAGGGCATTCATGCCACCTCTTCTAGCTGGAAAACCATCCTTCTCGCTCACGGAGAGAGGATACAGACTGGCTGGTGGGACCTCTACCTCTTCCTGGCCATGGACTGACCCTCACTGCCCTTCTGAAGTCACAGGGCTGTTGCGCCATTTGTTTGTGTTTTTGTTTGGAGGGTTGCTTTTCTTGGTTGGGATAGTCAAGTCTTCCCCAGACCTCAGCCTGTCTTGTGTTTTGGTCTCCATGGTGGCGGGCTCATGCTGCTTGCTGTGTGCACCCCTGGCGCTCTCCCTTGTCTTCATCAAGGGCTTTTGGAAGTCGGAATCTGATGAGGGTTCTCTTGATTTCCACTGCCCTCTACCCCCTTTGTGGCTGCCTGACTTTTTCAGTTTTTGGTTTCTAGCCATGGGCTCCATCTGTATTTTAATGCTAAAGTTTTTGAATCTGCATTTTGGTAGCCTGGGTGTGTGTTTCCTTTCTTCCCTCTGTTTTTCTTTCTGTGCAGTTATGTGCGCCCGGATGCCATGCTTGCTTCCTCCTAAATTTCATCATTAGTCTTTTCTGTTGATTTTGTACCAATAAGCCACTTCTCTTTAATTTTCTTCTCCTTACAGAAGTGAATTCAGTTAAAAAAAAATAAGTACGTGCATGAGATATTCAGCCTTTGTCCAAGTAACACGTCCAGCAGCTGTGAGGGTAGCTGGAATCTCTCCATCCTTGTTTTGACTGGTCTGACGTCAGTCTTTTTATTTTTTTATTTTTTTGAGAAAGCAGGATTTAATGCGAGGACAGAAAAGCTCTCACAGTGGGAGGGGACCCAGAGGGGTTGCCCGCACGTCAGTCTTACAGGCCGGGCTTTTCCCTTTCTTGGCCCATGCGGTCTGCGGGGATCCGCCCACCCTAGTTGCTCCTCCTTCTTGGATGCCACTTTAATCTATTTAGGAGACCCATCTGCTAGTTGTAGGTGTTATGGGAGCAGAAGCCACCTCAGATGCCACATGGTAGCGGACATGTTTGTTAAGAGAACACAGACTTTCGTGTCTAGTGATACAGCGGTCTGTAGTGCTGACAATTCTATTTAGTGTGCATTACTATTTTTAACTTAAGAAAAATGCTCTTTAGTGACTGTCTAAACTCTACCCACTGGCAGTCCCATATATGTGCTCATGTAGTTGTGTGGAACTCTGCCCACTGATTTTAGAGATCAGGAGTTCCATCTTTCTAGGAGAATCTTAGGAAAAAAGCAGTGATTTTTATTTGAAAGCAATCAGTCTTACGTGTCTACGATGAACACGTTGGCAACAAAATCAAACAACGAACTGACATGGCTCCTTTCAGACCCAGGGTTAGGTTCGTAAGAAAATGCAGAAGTGGGCCGGGCACGGCGGCTCAGTCTGTCATCCCCACACTTTGGGAGGCCGAGGCAGGTGGACTGCCTGAGCCCACGGGTTTGAGACCAGCCCGGGCAACTTGGGGAGGCCTCGTCTTTCCAGTACATCAAAAAAAAAAAAAAAAAATCAGCCGGGTGTGGTGGCTCGTGCCTGTAGTTCTGCCTACTTGAAGGCAGAAGGATCCCTGAAGCCCAGCAGGTCGAGGCTGGGGTAGCCGTGAGCATGCCACTGCACTCCAGCCTGGGCAGCGGGGTGAGACTCCCAGTCAAAAAAAAAAAA